TACAAACTCATTTAAATATATAATCTAAATATATCTACGAAACGGATATAGAAATATTAGATGTAAAAAGACGACACCTAAGCACGTGAAATAAAAAAAAATCACTTTATTATACCTTGTGTTTTTAGAACCCTTGAACCCTTCTACCACCATCCCCTATTTTTAAATGACTAGACCGATTTTGATGAGACTTTTTTTGGCAAGTAACTGATGTAATAAGGAGTAGCTTAGGCTACTTTTATTTTAGGAAAATAAAGTTAAATTCCACGCGGACGTAGCCGCGGGAACAGGTACTATTACATTAAATTAATTAAAAATTACTATTATCACACACGCTGCCATGCATTGAGCTACTTGTATAAATAGTCGTGACCCTCCCATGTGGACACGGTATACAAAACAAACAACATTTTAATATCGCTATTGACAGATCCCTGATGACCCTGGTGTCTGATATCTTATCAAATATAGTTCGACAGCGATAGTGTTCATTTACCCATAAGGGTCGGCGGCAAATAGTATCAACTTCTCACCCTATGTTCTCATGATTCTTGTTCCCACGTATGTTATAAATAACTTCTCATTATTTATGGGCACTTGGTACTTTGTCACATCATTACAACTATTGTAATTTAAATATTGTAAATTAAATATTTTTATTATTATTATTATTATAATAAACACGAAAGTTTGTGAGTATGAATGGATGTCTGTTACTTACTAAATGATGTTTGAAACTACTGGACGGATTTTGATGAAACTTCACAGTAATATAGCTTATACATGAGCTACAAATTCCATGCGGGTGAATCCGTACAGCTAGTTAAGGCTCGGCGTCAAATATTATCTACGTCTCTCCCTATTTTCTCATGATTTTTGTTCCCGCGAATTTTATAAATACTTATTACTTATGAGTACCTGGTACTTTGACATGTCGATCTAACTAATAATGTTTTTGTAGAAAAATTTTAAATACATAGCACTGACAATATTATCTGATTACACTAATAATGAGTGCGTAGCGATTTCTATGTTGATTGTCGCATGCCTCTTACTTATAATAATAATTACAGTGTAACATCACTGTAATTATTTATATAAAAAAACATCTATTAAAAAGAGCAACACACAAGTTTCTTGCTCAAAATATGACTATTCGAAAGTGCTTGTAATGAGTTTATTTGAATAAAGATTATTTCTATTTCTATTTCTAACTAGACTTTTATTATATATTTTTTACATATACGTTTTATATAGTATTTTACTTCCTTCTATTTTTATTGTCATTTTTGAAAGTAGTTTCTCTGAATACTAAAATTAAAATATACCAAAAATCCTTAAGAAATCTCAGTCATTAAAAACTTCTCTCTAATTTCTCATGATTCTTGTCCCTGCGTATGTTATAAATAACTTCTTATTACTTATGAGTACCTGGTACTTTGACATGTCGATCTAACTAATATTATCTAGACTAGACTAGACTTTTATAATATTTTTTTATATATGCGTTTTATATAGTATTTTACTTCCTTCTATTTTTATTGTCACTTTTGAAAGTAGTTTCTCTGAATACTAAAATTAAAATATACCAATAATCCTTAAGAAACCTCATCCATTAAAAACTTCTCTCTATTTTCTCATGATTCTTGTCCCTGCGTATGTTATAAATAACTTCTTATTACTTATGAGTACCTGGTACTTTGACATGTCTGATCCTGATCCTGACCTGACCTGATCTAACTAATATTATAGACACGAAATTTTGTGAGTATGGATGGATAGAATGGATGCATGTTTGTTACTCTTTCTCGCGAAAACTACTGGACTGATTTTGATGAAACTTCACAGTTATAGCTTATACATAGGTTTCAAGTACCATGCGAGTGAAACCGCAGGCACAACTAGTATTCTATAATCTTACTTCACCGTAAGGAACTTTCTCTATGTATGTATGTTGACAACGATTGAATGACGGCCTCGGTGGTTTATCGGTTTATCACACGCCTTCTGATTGTTACTGGTTCGATTCCTCGTACGGTACAAACATTTAGGTATGAGTTGAGTATGATTGTTTGTATTGATCTGGGTGTTTTCTATGTATATTATATATGTATTTACAAAAAAATATTTATATGAGTTGTCTGATACCCATAACACTGCGAGCGAAACTGTGGTTATTTTATAACTGTGATAAATATTACATTATGACGGTAAAGTCATTAATTTCTCTCATCATTAACCCACATAAGTTATCATGGTACTTATCTATAGAATATTTTACCATCTTATGTATGTAACAAATATTTCTTATATAAAAACTGTTGATTGTATCATTATAAAAAAAATTGTTATTCAATAAACTTATTAGTTGTCTATACAAAATGTAATTTGCATGAATTTGAATTTATCATGACGACCTCGGTGGTCTAGCGGTCTAGTATACCGCTTTACATCCGATGGTCGCGGATTCGATTCCTCGAACAGCACAAACATTTGTATTCATGAGTAGGATTGTTTGTATCAGACTGGGTATTTTCTATGTGTAATATGTATGTATTTACGAAAAAAAATATCTATGTATTTTTATCAGTTATCTAGTACCCATAACACAAGCTTTAGCTAGCTTAACTTGGGTCTAGATGGCGCTGTGTGAATTGTCCTGAGATTATTATTATATTATTATTATTATTACTATATTGATTGATTCATTATAAAAAAAATTGTTATTCAATAAACTTATAAATTGTCTATATAAAAAGTTATTTGCATGAATTTGAATTTATCATATACACTAGCTACCCACCCCGGCTTCGCACGGGTGTACATGTATTATATACAGTACAAACATTTGTATTCTTGGGCATTATTGTGTGTAGTGGTCTGGGTATATTATACGTGTTATATAATACTAGCTACTCGCCCCGGCTTGGCCCGGGTGTACATGTATTATACGTATAAAACTTCCTCTTCAATCACTCTATCTATTAAAAAAACTGCTTCAAAATCCATTGCGTAGTTTTTAAGATTTAATAAAAGCATACATAGGGACGGACAGACAGCGACAGCGACAGCGACTTTGTTTTATACTGTACTAGCTACTCGCGCCGGCTTCGCACGGGTGTACATGTATTATATATATAAATCTTCCTCGAGACTCGCTCAATCTATTAAAAAAACCAAAATCCGTTGCATAGTTTTAAAGTTTTAAGCCTACATAGGCACGGACAGACAGCGACAGCGACTTTGTTTTATACTATGTAATCAAGATGAGATATAAGAAACCTGTTTGGTATGTTATTATAAAAAATTGACTTAATGAAGGAATTTGTTGACAATAATATTTCGCGGGAAAGTTTTGTGTCGTTTAGAAATACAATAAATCATTTTTTTATGATTATATTTCTGATCGAAAGTGATCTACTAGTGATCGACTAGTGTTGCGAAGTCACGAACATCGTAAAACATATTGTCGCTCGGGCCTACCCCTCAAGCAGGGGGGGGGGGGAAGATTCTTGATATCTTAGTAATAGAATAGAATAGAAAATCATTTATTTAAATAAATTTGATTTAAGCACTTTTAATCTAGACTTATGACCTTACTAGGCGTATTCTCGGTTTCACCCGTGAAATTTATAGCCTATATGTTATTCTGATGTATAAGCTATATGACTGTAAAGTTTCATCAAAATCCGTTCAGTAGTCTTTGAGTGAAAGAGTAACAAACATCCATACTCACAAACTTTCGCGTTTATATTATTATTAAGACAAGGTTGCTAGCAATGTGCTGCTTAGAAATATCCACTAAGAAAGGATTTTGATTAATTCTACCCCCAAGGGGATAAAATAGGGGATGAAAGTTTGTATGAAACTTTGTCAATTTTAAACCGATCGGGCTGAGACTTTGCATGCATAAAGCTACTATGACGTAGGCATCCCCTAAGAAAGGATTTTGATAAATTCTACCCCTAAGGGGATAAATTAACACGAGCGAAGCCGCGACCAAAAGCTAGTCAATACATATTTTGATTGAAAATATTAATTTCGGATCGTCTGGAAATCGTGATTTTTTTTAGCACAACTTAGGAATGTTTTATTACTAGGTTCGTATGTAAAGAAGCTATTTTTTTAAACAACTTAGGAATGTTTGTTTCCTGGAGCTTAGCGTGTTAGCAAAGATTGATACATACAGATCTATCTGTGAAAACATCGAATGCATCAATGGTAATCGAACGGAGAAAGTCGCGGCTCCAGTTTGATTTGCATCTCTGAGTATCTGTGGGTCAGTGCACGCGATGCATCGGGCAAAATTCGCTAATATTTAGAAAGTCTACGGTTTACGTGCTTTGCACTCGTGCGCAGTCAGCGTTATTTTCAAAATGCATCAAATCAGTCATTACCAAAAATAGTTCACGTTTCTTTCAAATTCAAATTCAAAATATCTTTATTCATGTAGGTCTATCACGGACTCTTATGATATATCAAATCTACCATCAGTTCGGAATGATTTCGAGATGAGAAGAACTGACAAGAAACTCAGCTTAGTATACATCTATACGTATAAATAAACTTGGAGTGCCTGTTTGTAATATTGAAATAATAGTTTTTTACTACATGCATATGAATATAAATACGGTAGATACACCAAACTAACATTTTTTACAATTTGATGAGATAGCTTTCCGAACGAGTGGTAGTTACAAATTGTTATGACTATTCAAAAGTGCTTAAATTAAGTTTATTTGAATAAATAATTTTCTATTCTATTCTATTCTATTCTACATCATAGCATCCAGGTTGTTTGGGTCACAGCAAACTCATATATCTTTATGGTCCTTCGAGCCGGATGAATATAAACTGTCATGACAGACATAGAAATGAATATAAACTATATTTAATTAAAAGAAACAGATGTCGCGGGTTCCTAAATAAATATTTTTGAATAGCAACAATGAGTGAAAAATATATAAGATTCTGTAGACTAACAAACCACGTTGTTCCAGGTCACCATTGCCTGTAGGATGCTGGGCGCACTGATGCTTTAAGAAGCGGTAAGTTCACTATTTATAAATTCTACTCTCTTATTGCTACCATCGTAGTATAAAAAAGAACTATCATATTACATAAAATTGCGGCAAATGGAGTCTAACTTACATTACATTACAAAGAACTAGTAATGCACACAAACTAAAGGACCTACCTGATGGAAACTGGTAACCGACATTTATATGTACCTAATCTCTCGAGAAAACCTCGGCAGGTGGTTCATTCCACAATCTAAGTGTACGCGGGAGGAAGCTCCTCTAAAACCGCACTGTTCGAAACCACTTAGGTTCCAGCGTGTGGGGATAAATTCCCTGCCGATGACGAGCGGTGTGGTGGTAAAAGGTGGGCGTGGGCATCATGTAGATATATATATATATTTATTATACTCTTTGTGGAACCAACAGAACAAAAAATAATTAAATAGTAAATTTACATTAACTGGTACAAAAGGCGGTTTTAGCGCTAAGCAATTTCTTCCAGACTACCTTTGGGTGGATAGAGAAACTAAAAATAAGAAAAGGTATATTCGGTTGAACACAAAAAGCGATGGGAAGTCTCGCCTCAAGCCAAATGGTCGAACCGTTTTCAAACCATTTGGCATTTACGGATTCAACAACTAGCTTAGTAAAACTTATGTTACCTAAATAAATAATTTTAAATTTTGCATAATATGTTGACATTTTTAGGAAATAACCTTCCAGCAATGGTATTTCCGAACCGATACGATATTGAAACCTTCAAGAAAAGAGCTTATTCCTTTCTAAACGGCCGACAGCGCACTTGCAATTCCCCTGGTATTACGCGTGCTCATGGACGGCGGTAATCACTTACCATCAGGTGAGCCACATGCTCGTTTGTGCCCTATGCTATAAAGACAAAAGAAAACTTCATCAAAGGCTTATGAAACAAACGTCTTGTCAGCAGAAATAGGTGAGACATAGATGTATAAACGTGAGATGCTAAAAAGATATAAGAAACTCATCCATGTCATCGATGCCTAATTAAAACTAATTGCTGTATTGATTAGCAACTTAGCAAGGAGTCGTGAAAGTAGCTCGTAATTCCGCACGCCCCGTACCATGCACTCACGCGTCAATACGAACATTTGTAAGGTTTTGCCAGATATTTTTATATCTTTAGGATTTCGTGTATTAAAATTGCGTGAGTTCTGCTTAAAAACTATTCAGGACGTCCCAGGACACTACAAAAACTAGGACATGTCCTGGGAACAGGGGACAGTTGGCTGAAGTTTATTAAACAGAATCGTAGAGATTCTGTTTAATAAACTTCAGCCAACTGTCAAACATTTTTTTTCGGACTACTCTAATGCTGTTGTCCGCAACTGGCCTTATAGCTTCACCGGACGATAGGGGGCGAGTGCAGATGGCACTCCAAACCCGCGGAAGGACTCATGGAGCGGCTGAAGGCCAACTCTCGCCTGACGGATACGACTTTAGTCTGAGGGCACCGCTAGGGGTTCGAACCTCAGCTTAGGCCGTCGTAATATCGGTCCCCGTTTGATTTGGACGGGGGGAAAATTATGTGCTTAGATCAATATACGGTTGTAATGTCATATTAATCTATAATTCATTCAATATTTCGTTCCATAAGTACAAACGCTTCTGATATCCAGAACCTTTTTTTTCTTATGATAAGAAAAAAAGTATATTTTGTCTATCTATTTATGTATTGTCAATTTAAACATTTATTTGAAATGAATACGAGTTGTGTTTCTCATCAGTTCTTCTCATCTCGAAATCATTTCGAACTGACGGTAGATTTCATATCATAAGAGTCTGTAATAGACCTACATGAATAAAGATATTACGATTTTTTTAATGAATGTTAATTATTGTCTGTACAATAAATTTAATACGCTCGTTTAATTTTTTTAATATTCTAAAGGGCACCGGGCAATTTGGCGGAGTGTTCTCCGTGTATGGGACTCCGTTATTTATTTTATCATCCGGACCGATGCATCGGCCACCTTGTTCCGCGGAGTCGCCGCGGCCCACCGTCGTCGTGGTACTGTTTATTTTTCACAACTGTTTTTGACAGTTAATAACAGTAATTAAAAGAACACTTGAGCTGTGCGTCCAACAATTAACAGGCCGGCCGTATATTGTATTGGCTGTAGGTATCGTGTTTGCGATAGGGTTGCCAATTATATATATATACTTTATACTTTATTGCACTTATTACATTAATAGACAAAGACAATAAATAATATAAATACTTAGATATATATAATTATATATATATATACATACATAATATACATAGAAAACACCTAGACCGATACAAAAAATCATACTCATGAATACAAATATTTGCGCCGTGCGAGGAATCGAACCTGCGACCATCGAAAGTAAAGCGCTTTGCTAAACCACTATACCAACAAGGTCGTCAAATATGTTGAGAAGCAACTGTGAGAATATTTGTCTCTTTGAATTTCTTTCTTAATAGGTCACGACTCCCTACTGAAAATCGCTCGAATGTCACGTTTTTGTAATGTGAATATATTTTAGTATAACTATACTAAATTGAAAATTATTTGCGGATTCAGATGTTTTTGCTGAAAGAGTTTTCTCTGTTGTAAGTGAAGTAGGTATATACCGGCAAGCATTGTTTTGCCATAAAAATTAATGTAAAAAAAAGTTGGGGTAAACAATACTTAGGGGTATGAAAAATTGATAGTAGCCGATTCTCAGATCTACTGAATATGCATATAAAATTTCATAAAAATCGGTCAAATCCTATCGGAGGAGTATGGTAACTAACAATCTGACACGAGAATTTTATATGTAAGACTAGCTGATACCGCATACTCTGTTTTACCATGTGAATTAAAATCGCTATTAAAAAATAGGGGTTGGTCATAGAAGGGTGAAAATTTAGGGTTGTATACATTTTTTGAAGTCACTATATAAAAATTATTGTCTAAAAATAAAATAAAAAGCCTAGGTCACTTAGGGGTATTAAAATAGATTCAGAGACCTACTGAATATGCATATAAAATTTCATAAAAATCGGTCAAGCCGTTTCGGAGGAGTATGGTAACTAACATTGTGACACGAGAATTTTATATGTAAGATTTATATAAGTGTATATAATTTTTTTTTTTGTAAATACTCTCTTACCGAAGGTTGTCTGTAAGAGATTGCTTCAGCGATAAGACCGCCTTCTGAACTTAGTTTTATTTTTTACTTTTTTAATATTGTTCATGTCCTGTATATGTTGGTAATTATAAATAAATAAAAATTGATCATAATCAACATATAAACTGTATTAAATAAAAACTTATAATATGTTCATGTACTGAACACATATTTTGAACATTTGTGACAACCCTGATTTATTCTTGTATGATGCACAACTGCACAATATATTATGAGTGATGGTCGTTAAGTGGTAACAGTATAATTGAGGACCACCGCGTAGTGTATTTGACGGTCTCGGTGGTCTAGTGGTTTAACACATTGCATTACATTCGGATGGTTGCGGGTTCGATTCCTTGCACAATGCAAACGATTATTAATTATAAATTACCTTTTGCCCGCGTCTCCGCTCGCGCTAATTTATCCCCTTAGGGGTGGAATTTATCAAAATCCTTTCTTAGGGGATGCCTACGACATAGTAGCTTTATGCATGCAAAGTCTCAGCCCGATCGGTTTAATATTGACAAAGTTTCATCCGCTATTTTATCCCCTTGGGGGTAGAATTAATCAAAATCTTTTCTTAGCGGATGGCTACCTCATAACATCTACCTGCATGCCAAATTTTAGCCCGATCCGTCCAGTGGTTTGGGCTGTGCGTTGATAGATCACTATGTCAGTCACCTTTGAGTTATATATATTTAGATATGATTTTATGTAAGTATTGGTGTTTCCTATGTATTTACAAAACGATGCATTCATTATTCATATCTATTAACCAAATATAAGCTCTACTTAGCTTGGGACTGGGGACAATTCACACAACACTTACCTACTCCAAGAATAGCTTATGTTGTTGGTACTAGACTACTGACATAAATATAAAACACCCAGACTGATATAAACACTCACTCATGAATACAAATGTTTGCGTCGTGCGAGGAATCGAACCTGCAAACATCAAAGTAAAGAGGCGTGCTCAACCGCCTCCAAGAATAGCTTCTATACCAGCCTACTGATATAAATATAAAACAACCAGACCGATACAAACACTCACTCATGATACAAACGTTTGCATCAGGGAATCGAACCCGCGAACATCGGATGTAAAGAGGTGTTTCAAACCACTACACCACCGATGCCGTCATAAACTACATTCAATGCACATTCTGAATATGGCAGATGAATGAATAAAAACAAATAAGAATAAAAGAATATTATATGTAATTTTTTTCTGTTCACATTCCCTAAATAGCGCGGCCGTTTTGCTGGGTGCCAGCGCCCGTAAACGGATAAGCTTACTAATCTGTGCAACATTATGCAGGGCGCGTATAGAAAGCTATCGAAAATTATAAACGATTGTAAACCCTATTGTTTACATAAGAAGAGTTATAGTCCCGTAATATGGTCTAAATCTCACGTGGAATTAGGTTAGTTATATAAGAGACCCCTATAAGGCGTGACGGCAGTGGTACACGCAAACTAACTGTGGTTTTTTATGGACTAGCTGTACCCGCGACTACGTCCGCGTGGAATTTAACTTTATTTTTCTAAAATAAAAGTAGTTTAATTTACTCCTTATTGCATCAGCTACCTGCCAATAAAAGTTCCGTCAAAATCGGTCCAGATATTTCAAAGATTGAGACAAACAGACAGACAGAGAGACAGACACAAATTAAAAAAAAAATGTTATTTTGGTGTATGTGCCGTATTTATTTGCATGTAGTAAACAACGGTTATTTCAATATTACAAACAGACACTCCAATTTTATTTATATGTATAGATGTATAGATAATGTAATGGTGCATCAGCCTGTGCTTATGTTGGTAATTCTTAAAAATAAATAAAT